TGCACATTCAAATAAAGTCACCACAAGGCATGCAGAAGGCAAAAAAGAAATAATAAAATCCTACGAGATATATAATGATGATTGAAACTATAAAAAAAAATTAATAACAATAGAATTGTTTAAGAATTTGGTTCTTTTGTTTTTTTTTATTTTTAATTGTTACCTGAATCTGATCGACCGATAGTTGCTTGAACAAATGGATTTTTAACAGGTATAAATTGATAAGTATTATTGATAATTGGTGATGTAGAAAAAGCACTTGGTGGTGGTGGAAATTCAATTGAAAGTGATTCATCTGATGATATAGATTCATCACCATCACCATCCTCATCCTCATCATCATCATCATCATCATTATCATTTACTAAAATAAGAAAATCAACCACACATATTTTCATGCTTCATGCTTGAACAAATCATATAATGAAAAATCAATGGGTAAATAACATGCATAACTTCTTTTTTTGCTTGTGTTTTTTTTTTGTTTCTTACCGTTTGTTTGATTAAATGAAAAACGACGTTGAGATTGATTTTGACGAGATTGTTGATAATCACTTTGTTGACGATGATTATTTGTATAATCAAATGGATCAGGAGTTATTTGTGAACGATAAAATGGTTTTGGTCCAATAATACGAGTTGCTGTTGATGATGGATTTGGTGATTGACGATTTATATTCATAGGTAAATTTGAATTATTATTTTGTCGATTGAAGTATTGTGCTTGACTTTGAACAAATGTGTTATTTTTTGATGATAATGGCAACGAAGACATCGATATTTATGTATGTATATCCAGAAGAATAGAAAATGCGTATGTACGTATGTGTGTAACAACAACGACAATCAGAATCCGCCCACACACAAAAAAAGATGGTCTGAAAGAAATAAGAAGAAACGACAAAGACAAGAAGAGAAAAAGAGAAAACAAACAAAAAGCTGTATCATCAGAACCGGTGGTGGATATACAAAGAACAAGAAAGTGCTAAGGATGTGTTTTCCGTTCTAACGAGATGATGATGCTGTATCGAATGTTCATTTATATGAGATCTTTTTCCTCTCATTTCTAAGTATAAGTCAAAATATACGAGACAAACAGTCGACTGGATACCTGTGGTGTATTCTTTGAAAAGCCTCGATATATCAGCTAACTTTTTCTCTAAATGTCGTCGATATAAAATATTGTCATTTTATACGTATTTTCTTTACATAGCAAGAAATCTTTCGATTAATATGTTTACAGAGAGAAATAAATAAACATCAGAGATCGTGCTTGAAAATTTTTTCCTCATGAAACTCATTAAATAATCAAATAATAACAGATGATTACTTATAGTATGAACAAAGAGTAATAAATTTCATCATATATATATATTAATCAACTATTATTAAATTTACAAACAATTATCATCTAATGATTGTTTGTGACTGTTGTATATTGATCGAGTTTTTATCTAAAATAAAATGAAAAACAAAAAAAAAATTTTTTTTTTTAAAATTAACTTAAATTGCTTTACCATCAACATAATTTAATATAGTAATTTGTTATATGATTGAATCACTAAACAAATATGAAATATTAATTCGTCATCATCATAATTTTGAAAAGAATAGCTATTGATATTGAAAACAAATTTATTTTGATTTTTTCATACTTTCTTCGTCAATATTGACTGGTAAAAAACAAAAAAAGAACTGAAAGATTTGTGCATATTGACTGCGATAATCTTAGAATAAACCTTTGATATATTTTAAAAAGGATCAAACTTTTTAACAAAAACAAGTGAAAATAACTATTTGAATGCAATGATTTACTATGCATCGGACATGAATTAAATCCATATTCATTATTAATGCACTTGATATTTGACACGTCTGGGTTATTTTTTATGAGCATGTACATTCTTAATATAGTTTCAGTGAACATAAAATTCTATGTAGGTGATGAAAAATATTCTACTCAAATAAGTACTCACCTTTATCAAACTAAACAAACAAAAAAAACTCTTTTTGAATGAATTAGTAATCACTTAGTAAGTATTAGTCAGATTAAGAGTCATGATTCCATACTATATTCCTTTTGGAGTGAAAGTATTAATCGATCAATAGTTGTCGGTAGTTGCCGATAATGTTTTTTCTTTTCGTTTTCAGCTCATATATTGTTCATTGAATGCAAAACGAATAGTACTCAACTTCAGTGTAACATATCTCTTAATAGATACTTATCTTAGGAAATATATTCACATATGACTCAATGGAAATATTGAGTTACTGGAATTTCGATTCGGACTTAAACTGATGTCATCAATCCCTATAAAAGCCTTATTTCTTTTATTAGTTGCTACTTTCTGTCGTATGATCTAAATTCATACTGCTTAGCACAATGCCCATCTGTGGAGTACTATGCCATCATACTGACTACTATGTCATTTTGTTCATCACTATGGAATGTAGCAACTAGTTTAAGTAATAAGGCTTTTCATAGGGATTAATGAGATCAATTTAAGCTCTGATCAAAACTTCGACCTGCTGCAATATTAATCATTATAAGCAATAGAATTATAATCGATAGAAAATTGTTGAACCTATTTAATATATCATTTTATAGTCGTTCATATCTATTAGGTTCTTCAAAGATGAATATGTTAGGGTTCTCTCTATAATACAGAAAGAAGAACGCTTTATCCGATAGCGGATTGCTAATTTCTAAATCTGGAATTTTCACACTCTGCTTTGGCAAACAAGCCTAATGTTTCTCATCGAAGAACAGAACAAAATAAAATTGATAATGTTTTTTGTTTTTAAATAAAACTGCTTGATTATTTTGATGAGAACACTCAAGCTTGCTCTTGACATATTTTATCAGAGAAAAATGACATATCGATAAAATTTCTTTCAACTGCTGAAGACTGATTAGTTCGGTTACAATTCTGATAAGAAATATAGATTATGACCACTTACAGTCATAGATATGATTAGTAATACTGGAATTCATTGAAATTGATATTCGATAATGTTGATACGATTGTGAAAACGAAAGAATTTATCGAGAAAAAAAAATGTTCATCTTTGAAGTGTTTCATCATCTCATATTTTGAAAATGATCCAATTCATGAAAGATAAAATTCAAACTCTATCCAGATCAAATAAAAACACGAATAATGACAAAAATCGTCATTAAATCAAATAATAAAAACTTTAATTTTCATAACAATCAGTTTGTACACAGAGCAACACATTATCGATAAGAAAATAACATCAATCAATCAAGCTGAATAATCTGAAACGGATCTGATAATTCTCCTGGGACTTAATAGAACATAAAGGTTCTGATAAGAGTTGAATGCAGAATCATTTTAGTAGACTTCATCTTATGTCAATAAGATTAGAAGAAAAATCTATCGAATTAAGTCATTTCCTTGATTTAATTGTGTTCACATTCTGTTCTTTATGATGCGTCAATCTTTTAAAATTAAAAGCACTATTACAATCGAATTTTGTACTAATATATGTATTTCTTCAAAGGTATGTTATTTAATTATGTAATAAAAGGTTTGTTTAATGTAATAAATGTTTGTTCTCGAGAATCGATCATGAAAAATATAATAAAAAACAAAGAACCAAGAAATCATTCTTTTTTTTTCATAAGAGTTTTAATCAATATGGCTTAAGGTGCTGTTAAATAAATGATTCACTAGACAATGAAAAGCATCGTAAATCATTTTCTTCCATTTGTATTTGTTTACACTAAACAATTTGCTTTTTATCTCTCTAATAATTTATTCGCTTTAATCATCTCTCAATTAATTTTGGATGAAATTTGTTCTTTTTTTGTATTATTCAGAGATTTCTTTGCTAAATGAACTAAGTAGTGAATAAAATAAATCAGTTTTCACTTTTTTTTTTACAGTTGCAAGTCTTGGCCAGTGAGTAATACATCGACAAACTGTGACCCACCTTCACTGTTACATTTCTATTTAATACTTCTTATTTTTAATATTAAATAATAATAAATCTTATCATTTACGAAAATATATTGAAAAAAAAACAATTAAATATAGAATAAGACTTATACTAACTATAAAGTTCTATTTTGCATTTATGTTACAAAATTATGAACGATCAGAAAAGTATTTGATTAGAACTAAATGATAGAATATCTTTGAAATATGTTACAATATGGCGTCGAACCGAATAGAAAATAATTTAATCAATTATCGGTATGATGTAGAAAGCTTGAAAAAAAAATAATATCAAGAAAAACTATGTCGAAGAAACAAGATTTTCTTTAGACTTGATAACAAATATGAAATGATCTCCATAGTTTTTGCTGTAATTACAGATTTTTTTCTAATATTGAAATGTTCACGAAAACTTGTATGATTAATTAAAGTCATTGTTATAAGAAGAATTAAATTCTTCGAATGACACTGTTTATGAGTATGATTTTTGTCTGTTGAAGAGATAATAAAAATATACTAAAGAAGCGATTATCATGAATAAATAAAATGAAAGCTTATATTCGAACACCTTAAAGAATATCAATTTAAAAATTTCTTCTGAAAAATAGATATACTAATCAAGTTTTTGATAAAGTATCAAAAACAAAACCAATGTCAAAGTTTGCAATTTGTTTTAATTCTACTCAAGACAAAGAAACATTTATAATTAAATTATTATCAAAAAATGTCTTTTATATTTGATAAATGAATTGTAATACCAAGAAATACGACAATTTTATTAATTTCAAAACGTCAATATATGATACAACATTTTCCTATGTCTCTATTAGGTTCGATAATTGAATTCATGTAATAAAGATCTCACATATTTGTTGTTCTAACGCATTTTTTTCGGAATCTGTAATAAATGAAAATGTTGTTATATTTCATTTAGCAAAAGAAATTCTTTGCATCAATACATTTACAAAAAAACATCAGTCCATCAAAACCACAACAACAACAAAAAGAGAAGAAAAAAAAAGACACTGAATATATGAATTAAATTGCTTTTTTAATAAGATCATTTAAACGTACTGGCATCCATTGACTATTTTCATATAGAAATATAACATTTTTATCAATATATATATTCACATTTCCAAATTGATAAACTTGTTTTCCTTCATATGTTCGATTTGTTATTGGTAAAAACAATAGATTATGTTCTGTAGCTTTCTTTTCAACAAGATCTTTAAATGATGAAACAACTGTTGATGATGATGTTGCTACACCACGATTATAAATAGCCTAAAATATAAGATAAATCAAAATATATTAAAAAAATCAATTATATAACAAAAGTCTTACTTCATAATTAACATTTACAGATGGTTGAGATGGAGGTATTGGTATTGATTGTTGAACATTAACAGTTCCAGATATTCTTCGATCAATCATCATTAAACCTTCTGTTAATTTTTCTTTTATTATTGTATGACTAATAATTGTTTGTGGAATTAATGAACGCCAACCACTATACCATCGTTGAATTTCTTGATAATTTGGATTTGTATTTAACCAAATATTAAGTACCTAAGAAAAGAAAAAAAAAAAACATTCAATGTTAAATTTTTTTCTACAAAAGAAAAAAGAAATCATACTTGAAGCCATTTTGGAAAAAAAGTTTTTTCTAATATTGCAATCATACTTGGTAATGGTACCATATCATACCAAGCAATAAACCAATGCCATGGATCTAAATAAATATTTATTTAATAGAAAACAAAAAAAAAATTGATTTATTTCATACCTAAAACTTGTTGTCGAGGATCAATAATAAATTGTTGCATTGTTGAAACTAATTTTGGTACAATATGTTGATTCATAAATGCATTCCATGTACCTTGTTTAAAAACTTTTTGCCATGGAATAAGAACAGCTTTAGCTGATGAATCTGATGGTTGCCAATTTTGTAAAGCTTGACCTAATTTTGTACGAATCGGTTGATAAAGTGGTTCAAGACGATCTTTCATTAATGGTAACCATGGATGAAGCCATGAATGTATAGGTATTGAATCAGTTAATGGATTCCATGCATCAACTTCACGATGAAGTATTGGAAAAATAAGTTGATCAAGAATATTATCAATTATCCATGGTGGTAAATATGGTAACCATTGTTCAATAAAATCAATTAAATAATCAGGTTGACGTGGATTCCATTCACTATAAAAATATAAATATAAAATAATTTTTATATTTCAATTTGATGATTTACTTACAGAATAGATTTTCGTAAAAATGGCATCCAAACATCCCATATAAGTCGATGATATGGATCCATATTTTCTTTTGAATTTATTGAATTATCAGTTGTTAAATCAATAGTATCATCTTCAAGTATTTGTTTCCATTTAGAAAATAAATCAATTAATTCATGATCATTATTGTAAATATTCCAATTTAACGAAAGATGTTGTTTTAAATGACTATGTAAAACAGGAACAGCTAAATCCCATAAATGATATTTTCTATATTCTTTTTCATAATTTTTTTTAAGTTCTTCAAAAATTCGTTGTAAAAAAAATAAATCAGAAATATTTTGAACTTGTTTAACACATTGTTCACATCTAAAATAAAAATAAAATTCTTTAATAAATTATTTATTTCTAAATTTTACTTACTGATTAATCATATTTAAAAGAATATTTATTCGATTTATACTTGTTTCTTCATCTGACATCATTTGTTGTGTATAATTTAAATCGTATTTTAATGTAACAGTTGTATCTTCATCAAATTTTTGTCTAAAACAAAAGTGAAATTAAAATTATTAATGTAAAAAGAAAAAGCAAAAAAAAACTAAACTATTTTGAAACAATGAGTATTTCAAGTATTACCTAGAAAATTTTGTCATATCATTCTACTACTAAAAATCAACTTTTGAAAGACATTGAAACCTTTGCAGTATTTTTTTTTTCATCCCTCTTTTGATAGGTGTATAAGTAAATAAGGTATTTGTTTAGTTTTAGAATTCATTGTAGGGAATCAATAGAAAATATTCATCTATCAAAATAATACACAATTGCAAAAATACAGATGATTCTATCCTACACTCTAAAAAATTTCCGTATTGTGGGAAACCGACCTGAAAGGGTTTCCGAACGCTCAGAAACCCAAATCCGTTTCCGACATTGACTCGCAAACCCTTTCAGGTCGGTTTCCCACAATACGGAAATTTTTTAGAGTGTAGTAAAAATAAATTGAAATCAGAGTATTTTATATAGTTTGATAATTGCTTAGCTGAATGCTCAACAAAGCATAGCAGCTTAAAAAAAATATGTATTAGGCACTCGTTCAAATATTTTTGTTTAATTTGTCTTATATATTCGAGCATTTGTACCAAATACTTGAATAGTTCGAAATTCTACTGATAGTATATTCGTATATTTATTATCGAAGTATGCAGGAGAATTTTAAAATTGAACAAGTACTTTCACTTACCAAATTAATAAAAATTTTCTATGACATGGTACATCGTATCCGAAAATATACCTTTCATACTCTGAATTTATAACATTAACTGAAGTAGTTATTTTAATGATAAAAAAAAGACTATCGGTTTCGATTTCACAAATTGTGTTATGTCAAGAATAGACGAGAGAAAGCGTCATGAAAAAATAACTTTATCATTGACTGAATTTTGTATTACTAAAATTTCGTAAGTATGACGAAATTTCTCAATGAATTCTATCATTTAGCAAAAATCTTTTTTTTTTTCTTACCTTCGATGTGAACGAATCATTGATTCTTCACATGATTCAATAACTAAATCAAGATTATGTGTTAATTCATTTAATGAAAATACTTGTTCATTATCATATTGTTTTGTTGTTATTGAATCATAATTTTGAAGAATACGTTGTTCACGTCCAGTCATATCAATAATTTTTTCTCGAGTTTCTCCACTAGGTTTTTTATTATGAAATTTAGTTGTTTGTTCTTTTAATACATCGTTTAAAGTCTTATAAACATATTGTTCTTTAGGTGCTTTCTAAATAGAAAAAGAACAAAGTGTTTGTTTTTGTTTTGGTTAATAGAATAAAAAGTTTTATTACTTCTCGTTGTTGTTTTCTCCATTGTGGTACACTAGGACCAGCACTTTTTTTTGATCTTCTTGTTGATTCACTGATTTCAGGTTCTATAAAAAAAAGAATCAACAAAATTAATTTAAACTTAGAGAAAAGATTTTAATTACCTGCAGTGGGCTTAACACGATTTGGATCTTCATTTCCATATCGACCAACTGCACCTTTACCTTGACGTTTCACAACTTGAATAGGTAAAGCTCGACCTTGAAGATCTTTTCCCAAGCCATGACCTTTTTTGAAGCCCATCTAAATATTTCATTATTAAGTTATATATAAAAAACAGCTACATTTTGTTATTTCTATTAAATAGAGTCAATACGCATGAAATTTTTGGTGTGAAAAACTGAATTATTCCTCATTGCTATAGATATACTATAGAACTTGGATCAGAATTTTGAGAACATAAAATCCATTTTTCTAACAGATTTTCGAATAAAATAGTTACTAATAAAACGTACCTTCATTAATAGCTTCATACCAATACCTCTTGTATGCTTTTCAAATGCACCAAAATCTCTAAAATGATAAAACCAAATAGATAATTTAAATAAAAATAAATAAATAATTTTATACTTGTCATGAATTGGTCCTGTATTTGTTGGTGGTGGTCGTCGATATTGAACATTTGGTGGTTGACGTTGAACAATTGGTGTTTCAATTTCTTCATCACTCTAAAATAATTAAGTTTTTATTTTATTTTTTTTCTTTGTTTTTGAGATCAAAATTTTTTCTTCTTACAGATCCAATTGGTTGATTAACTTCATCTTGTTCTTCTTCTATATCACTATCATTATCATCATCACTACTATCACCACGTTTTCTTCTTTTTTTTCCAATTACTTCAATAACATCATCATCATCATCATCTTCATCATCGAATTTTTCATCACTATCTTCATCACTACCATAACTTTCAATTATAACTGGTTTTGTTTTCGTTTCTGTTTTTTTCTTTTCAATCTTTGATCCTAATTTAACACCACCACTAACAAATGATATTCCTTGAGATACTCGACCATAAGATGATGATGATGATGATGTTGTTGAACGATTTGATGCTCGTTCAGCTGCTGTTGCCCAAATACCTATGTGATATAATTATTTATTTAATATTTTTCTTTAATCAAAAACTAAATCTTACCATAAATAGCTTCTTCTTTACTTTGTCGTCCTCGTCGACGTGTTGGATTAAAAGCAGAATCTAAATCACTTTCTGTGATATTAAATTCTTCAATATAATCATCATCAGCCATGTATTTGGTGTTTTAAAATAAAGATACAAAAAGAATTTCTTTTTTTGTAATTATATGTGTCGAAATATCATTTCATGATTCATGATTCGCTTTGATTGGATCGTATGACGAACCATTGATATAGCTGGATAATATTTCTGTCGTCGTCAGCATTTTTTGTGTACATTGCCAACATATATATGACCTCGAATTTATTTTTTTAACAAAAAAACAAGTCATTGTGATCGTTGGTTTTTCTTTTTCGGTTGTTAATTCTTTCAGATTTTCATATTTCATTGATTTTTTTTTCTTATTGTCATCATGGTAAAGTTTATTTGATTTTATTATAATACAAAAAAAAAAAAAATATTTGTTTAGGCAAAACCTACAAAAAATAAACAAAACAATGCCACGACAGATGATAAACCTAAAGGACGTTCATTTTGTTGTTCAATATTTATTTATACATTTGTTTTTGTATCCGGTGTTATTGTTGGTGAGTTTTTATTTAATTATTGTTATATTTATATAAATTTTATTTATCTATTTAGCAACAATATTACCTGATTTAGCCGGTCATCATCTTAAACAACCTTATGCAAAAGAATACAGTATATTTAAATTAAAATTTGATTAAAGAAAAATGTGTTTTTTTTTTCTATTTGAAGGTGCTATGCTTGAAAAAACATTTAAAGATTTACCAAAATATTTGAATAATTTCGCTGAAACAGCTAATGTAATTCGTCATGATTTAATGGATCGTTTTTGGGTAATGAAAGCTGAAATTGATCGTCGTGTTGCAGAATTCAAAAATAAAAAAGAAGACACATCAACAACACAAAAAAACTACAACAACAAGTAATTAACTATATAAGAAAACAAAAACCAAAGAATGATATATATATTTCTTTTATATTTTTAGAGAAAACAACAACACAACGTCCAACAACTAAAACAACAACAGCTAGTAAGTTTTTTAATTTTCAATTATTCAATTGACTGTGTTTTTTGTGTTACTTAGCAACAACAAAACAAACAACAACTACTCCTCGCTCAACTACTACCCAGACAACAACAACAACTCCTAAACCAACTACTACTACCACTCAAACAACAACAACAACAACAACAACAACAACTCCTAAACCAACTACTACTACTACTCAAACAACAACAACAACTACTAAACCAACTACTACCACTACCCAAACAACAACTCCTAAACCAACTACTACCACTACCCAAACAACAACAACAACAACAACAACAACTAAACCAACCACCCAAACAACGACAACGACAACTGCGCCTACAACCCAAACAACAACAACAACAACAACAACAGCAGCTACCCCTAAATCAACCACTACTACTCAAACAACAACAGCTACTACAGGTAATTAGTTATACGTCTCTCTTTTATTGTATTACGCTAACATTTTTTTTTAATCTTTTATTGTTTATAGTAAATTCAGATCATGTTCATACAGTTCGTGCACATGATACAACAATGGCACCACCAACGTTTACTGAAAAACCAGCTGTTGTTGAATCTACAACTGTTAAAACAGAAAAAAATCGAGAGCAATCATCAGCAACGAAAGAACTTTAAACAATTTATTCTTAGGAAATTAATAAATTTGTCATTCCAAATAAAACGGTTGATTCAAACATTTTTTTTTTGACATTTTTCTGTTCTATGAGCTACTTTGTTTATTTTTTTCTGCCTATTTTGATTTTAATTTGTACCTGGACCTATGGGAATTAATAAAACATTCTTTTCTTTCATTATCATCAGAAATACTCGGTAAAGGAATGACTGTGTTTTTCATTTATCTGATTTGCATCTTCACTGATAAAAGCAAAAATTTATTAGGCAATTTTGCAAATACTTATAAAAGTATGTCTTAATATTGTTATTGAATAATCAATTTTTGAGATCTAACTAAAAGATAAATGCATGTAAATCATATATAATATTATGTACAAGTACATTTAGATGTTGAGTTTTTTTCAATTAGGTTAAAACGTTTTTTCAAATGATAGTTTTCTATTTTGACAGCTTTTGTTGGATGATATAAAAATAGTCAATATTAGATTTCGAATTTGTAATTCGATATTTCAATATTGATTTTAATTACTACAAGAATTGTGTCGTGAGGAGTTTACAAGGGGGGAAACAGCGGACTTCAGTCCAACGAAGTCCATTGAAGTTCATTGGAGTCCATTGAAGGCCCATGAAGTCCACTGAAGTCCATTGAAGTCCCTTAGAATTCCATAAAATCTAATAAAATTCTCCAGAGGTCAATAAAAGTGAGCTCCAGACTGCGTAAACTCCAAATTTGAAGCTCAGTTCACACCAGTCTATATTTTACCAATTAACATCAGTCCATGTTGTATAGTTAACAGCACATAATAGGATCCCATCAGTTATAGCCATAGACTGCGAGCATTATGTAACTGTAAGTTACTTAATTAATTAGTATTCACTTGTCAGTCTAATCAGTACTCACCTTAATTAGTACTGAAATAATTAGAACTAATTAGACGGAGTACTCAACTAATTAGGCTGAGCACTAATTAAGGCGAGTACTATCTGCAACATACCTGTAAATTTTTGAGGATTATTGGGGTACCCAAAAGTCCTCAAGGGCTATCCCATGGGAGTATCTATAGGTCCTCAAGTGCTATTGTATAGGGTACCCATAGATCTACGCTCAAAATGTCATGTTGCTATACAGTTATTTAAATAAGCCTGGTCGGATATTGCTGATAAATCTGAGTGATTTCAAGCTTCGATAGACTACGCTGATGTTCAAGTCTCATCATCGCATGAGCTAAGTTTATATAATGAGCCACAAGGTTATCAACAACATCAAACTGTTGTTTTTCAAAGATATCAATTGCTATGGTGCTGAAAAATAATGTGTTGATTTCGTCAATTGATGAAATGTTATTGATATTCGATAAGCTGAATGATTGATCAGTTATTCAATATATGCTTTAATCTCATCAATAGAATCGATATTGATGCTATTATCAAGCATATAATTTTGCATGGCCAATCATATGAAAGTTCAGCATTTATTGATGAATTATCAACTGAATCTTTGACTTTACTAATCTCAGATGTTATTCATGTTAGAATCTTTATAGTTGCCTATTCTAATTATATAATTAATTTTGAATGTAGCTAGTGTTTGTATTGATACTAGTTTCTTTATAATACCTTTATTTTGTAATTTTATCAGTTTGCTTTTTAAAGTTTTAACCAAACCTATATCATTTGAAGATTTTGAATAAGATTATCCACATTTTGTAGAACCTTCGAGAAGAATAAGTAATATTGTTTAAGTGTATTAATAAAAATGAATGTAGACTATTTCATTTTTTTTCGAATATCATCAATAGGAGATCATTGTGATCATATGGACTGAATTTTAGACTTGATGACTTTTTCCTATTTCTGAAAATGGTTTTGGTTGTCGTTAATAATGACAATTTCTTATTATGACATCAATGACGACAAACTAGTTATCCTCGATGATAAATATTGTAAAACTATATTCAGACTATTAGTTCATGATAAATATACTGAGAAGAATCAATAAGTCTGCAGACTATGACTACCTATTCGCATAATATAACTTTTATATTACAATTAACTTCTCAAATAAAAAAACAAATGATATTTTGAACAATGATGATGAAATTTTATACTGATTCAAAAATAATCTTGAACACAATTGAGAAATAAATACAAGTTAGCATAAAAATTTGTTTTACAATTAGTGTGTACTGGATTATATCCTGTTTTTTTTTAAATTAAAGTTATTTTTATTTAGAAACAAAACCTTGGAATATACATGTACATGATCATTATAAGTTTAATTTGATATGATTTAGATGACAGAGAAAATCTAACAAATACATTGATCATCAATAATATAGGATGACTAATGTCAGAACTATCACCCAAATCTCATTCACAGAATATTTCGAAGCCATGTTCGATAGATCTGGTGGATTTCGATCACTTTCTTGATTCTTCTTTATTAATAAGATACATTCATTCAAAGTTTAATGAACCAGTTTTCTCATCACCAATCAATAATTCGAACACCACTATTATCATAACAACAATATGCATCTGCATCACTTGTTGTTGTTTTTCGTCAATAACATCCTTTAGCTGTTCGATTAAAACGGTAATTCCATATGTTTGATTTTTGTGCATAACAGGTTGGATCAATAATGAATCCTAATTGTTCTTCATCTCATGTTGTACTAACTCGACATGGACATGCAAAAACTTGATCGGTCAAATTTTGAATATTTGCATTAATTTGTAGAAGCAAACCAAGCCGAACAAAAAGTTGAAAGCATTGAATAGGATATAAGAACCGGACGTACAAGTAATTTCACAGAATTTTATATCATCAATTTCACCATAATTACTTAAAATTAAATCACCATTAGTTTCAGTTATAAACGATAAAAAATCTCTTTATCCAGCTAGACGTCCTTGAGAAGTAAAAAGTTTAATTTGTAATTAACCTTTGGATTACCATGGGCATTGTGCATGCTATAAAAACTGTTGCAAGACTACAATTACTCATTAGTTGACTATTGATTTCAACACTGTAGCATGATTCAGTAAAACTAATACCAAACAATCTCAATTCATAACTATCGTACATTGAACCTCGAAAAGGTAAACTTTGTAAACCTTGATTTGTATTGCATTGTGCATCACTAATGTTACCATGTATACGAAAAATAAATTGACCGGAAATTTCAATGTTTGAATCATTTACTATAGTAATAATATTGAATGTGAAGAATTTCGGTATAGTAAAATAAATAATTTGATTGTCTGCACTGAAACCTACTTAAGGAAAATCACAGTATGGTTTAGCAAATCATTAAAATTACTTGTATATAAAAGTACTAAAGGAAAAATAACCACCGGTTGTTGTCATAGCCTAAAATTTAAAGATGAAACCATACTAAATCACTCTGATTGTTACGTCTAGATGATCATAAAAATAATTACAGATTCGAATAGTACTTGTACAAATATTTTAACTTACTTGATAAGTATTTCAATCTGAACTACTCGCATGTATTGAAACTCTATGCCATGTAACCACAAGTGCCCACATAATTCAATTAGTTGATAATTGAGGAGATATATTTCTTGTCGTGTTTGAAATTGGGACTCATGTTTCTTCTTCAGAAATTTGTCCATAGAAAATATTGCCTGAAGATCCTTGAAATACATCAGTATCGGTTCAATGCAGTTCAGCACATATAAAATTACGTAATTGAAATGGATTTGGTGGTGTGTGTGGTAAAACATATGCAACACTTTCAAAGAGAATCAAATCATGACTAAATAGTTTGATTTCCTCATATAATTTGTCAAAAAATGGAAAACGCACATTGACAGGAATAGGTAAAGTGTGGCATCTAAACTCCGTGGTACAATTGCATCACCACATATAGTATCGAAAGGTATGAAATTTTTAATGGATTCCTGTGGATTTATCGAATTTAGTATCCAAACAACAGAAAAAAACTTAACAAAACATCTTGAGATGTTTTACATATTTGACGTTCTTTCTCTTGTCCTTTTATAATCTTATCAACCTCTCATATAAATATTGATAAGCAACCTTTTTCAATAATAAAGACCTTGAAGAAGACAGGAAAAAAACGGAAGTTCTTCATTGTGTAAGTGGTGAAAGATTCCAAAGATAAAGGTTGACAGAAATTTTAAAGAAGATAGTAGGTATAAGTCAAACTCGAAATACATCTATAATACCAAATTCATATTCATTTCAACAGTTTCGCAGAACCACAAAAATCAACAAAAACTAAATATACATATATATCAAGTTGAAACACTTTTTCTTTTAATGTATATTTAAATCGAACTATTAAAAGCAACTGTTTGGACATTTAACATTATTACTCGCCATCTAATCATCCATAGTTTGAGTTAATTGTTCTGTGTTTGAATACCTTGACTGAAATGTAATGAAATTAATAGTGGTGTTTAGCTTTTTCTTTATATTTTTACCGATAGTTCTCATGAATATGTCATAAGACACAACAATGAGAGATTTGTTTTTGTTTCGCTGATATCGGCGAAAGTATGCGTATGATTTACTTTCATTCACAAGTAGTTTACATATCACCTTATTCATTTTCTAAATAAACATATCATCAATGTTAGAAGATTTATTTCTCAACCGTGAAGATTCTCATTCATTAAAGAGCAAAGAATGTTGATGTGACTCATTGAAACGGTACAACAGTCTGAACATGGAAAGCACAATATCAAAGCCATGAGTGAAACGACTCTTTAGACAAAGCAACGTTCTAAACCCAGTTAGAGAAACGATAGAAAAGAATTTGTGAAAACACGTCGAAATTCTAACGAGAGTAAAATTGTAGAAAGCGTATTTTTTTTTACATGTTCAACATGTGTTAGCGCTTTCGAACGAATATACCTTTGTTCAAGATTTTTTCAAACAGAGTCAAGCATGCTAATTAATAAATCCTCTTAATCAAATATTAATAACATATTGAAAATCGTTCGTCCAGAATCTCCAACATCTGTTAATATATTCCAAACAAACATCTATCCACAGTTTAATCCATAATTGCCACAGTGTTTGTTTAAATCTTGAAGGTTTCGAGTAACCATTATGTATTCATTAGAATCTATGCGCTTGAATGAGTCTATGAGAGATGTGTGTCACAGAGGACTGCATCAGCAGCCAAGTAGCCGCACCTAATGATAACTGGAAAAAAAAATCTTTTGCCGGCTTTTTTCTCATATTTGTCAAGAAATGGTATTGCATTCATGAACACTTACGTATAGACAACAAAATAAAGTTGATCTTATCAAAGCAACCATATTTTCTTTTCTTCATCGATTGCGTAACTGTTATGACTTTTTCAAATAAAATATCGCAATTCGATTCTTTGAACAAACAGTATGAAAATGACACTAGCAATTGAATATATGTGTGCTAAATATGTTTTAGTTTTCAAATGTTTTTACCGAATAAAACCAAATGAGACAATTAAATCCTCATTTAAGCATTACTAATTACTTGAACTACAAATTACATTTTATTCATGAACTTCATGATCGAAATTCGATGCATTATACAATCTTTTGTAATTTATTTTGATGCTTTGTTTAGCAACTATTATTGACTGTTACATCAATATGATAAAAGACAAAAACTAAAGAACATCGATTTGTGATGGATCATTTATTTAACTTGGAATTTTTATAATATAAGAGCTAAAAATCTTAACTTGGAATTCAGTATGTACCTCAAAATGAATTGATATGATTCCATTGAGATAATTTTCGTTTTTTTTTAAATCAATCAAAATTTTCAATCTACATATCACTATATAAAAAAAATAAAATTAACTTCAGTCAGTCACACATTAGTGAAAATTATAAATCAGGTTTATTTATTCGTCGATATAATTGAATTATTCCATTTGTATTTGCTGTCATACACATATCTTTCTCTTTATTCCAATGTACACATGAACTTGGAAAATATTTGTCGGAATTTTGAAGAGCAGAATTTGTTAATATTGGAAATTGAAGTTTATTATCTTCATCACCAATTGATAAACGATAAAAACGTGCATTCACTGGACTACATGTTAGTAAACGATCAGAATCATATGGATCTATATCAAAAACATTACCAATTGGAAGAAAATTATTATTATTATTATTATTTAATGGTGTTGATATTCTTTGAAGAGAAGGTGATGCTGTATTATTATCATTTGAAGGCATAGAAGTAAATGTTTGAAAAGGACCAACAGCTGAATAAGGTAATTCATATGATTGTATTGATTGATCAAATGACGATAAATTTGATTGAATAATTATATTATCATTTCCAATTGAAAATAAATTATCATTAACAATATGAATATCTTGAAGAAGACGTGAATGTTGTTGTTTTTGATGAATAAGAGTATTTGAACGAATATCATATAAAGCTAATTTACCATCATTAAAACCTACAAAACTTAATTATATTTCATTTAAAAATGAATTTAAAATTTGAAAATCAAGACAAAATTACCTAAAATAAGTGCTTGCCGTTCGGGATGTACAGTCATACATGTTACAAAATTATCATCCATATCAGTTAAAACACGTTCAACAGACCATGTATTTATATCAAGAATTGATACACGACCAGAACGTATACGAGTATTATCTATTGTATTTAAACGACTTGCACTTGCTAATGAAACACAAAGACGATCTAAATTATAATAAAAGAAAATTTATATGTATAAGCTACACATTATATAATGAGTATTCTTAATTATATACAGTACTGAACTAAAGTAGTCCTTCTTACGAAATGTCATTATTCTTTATGATATTTTGGATGTATATGTGCGACTGTAAACGGTAATTGCAAGCATAAGATTACTCGCCATTAATTCATATAGACTGGAATTATTATTTACACATTTTCTTTCACTGGTAAAACCATATATCTACTGTGTTATCAGCAAAGCGTGTGATATATAATCAACATCTTCATAATTAGCTCGTTCTGAGATAGTGAACCCCTATTGTAGCGTTAACTCGACTTCATTTAATGCTATTATTCTAAAATTTTTACAGCAGACCTGTTGTCTCATGGAAACTTTTCACTACACTTTTCAGATGCATTGGTGAAATTCAATATAGAAAAGATCGATTTTACAAGAAACCAACATTTGTTTTTCAACGGCCATGCCGAATAAGAAGGCACGAAGGACTTGTCGGTGTTTTCGATCAAGAATTTTCGTTATATGTATAGATCCAAAATACTAACTCGATATCATAAAGAATAGACACATTTCATAGGAACAATTACATTTGTCCAGAACTGTCTATGTATACGTATATCGAAAAGCTTACTTTGAATTGTATGTGGATAAATATACATAACTCTTGGATAATCTTTATCAATAATTGCTTCATTTATAATACGTTTTTCTGTTATATGTAGAACTTTAATAGTAGATATTGATGTACCCAAATAAAGTAATGGTTCACCATTATTGAATGCTTGACATTGAAGTGCTGAACGTGAAATAAGTGAAGTTATGATATCAAAATCTTCAGTTGCTGACCAAACTTTAAATTAAAAGAAAAAAAAAACAAGGAGCTTTAAAATTTAAGAAATGTGGTTTTTTTTCTGTTGTTTTTACTTTTAACTTGATTTTGAATATCAAGTGTGGAATAAAGTGTACCATCCATATTTAATTTACAATCAATAATTGTACTTGAATGATGTTTTAATTCTGCCAAATGAATTAGTTTTTCTTCGTTAATATCGATCTAATCATAGAAACTCATTAGAAAGATGTTTTTTTTTTCTAGCTTTTTTTTTAAAGCATGCTTGTTAAATCTTAGAGATCAGCATAAAACAAACGAGCAGAAAGAAAATAGAAAATCGAACCACATACGTGGGTGCATGAGCATATATTTTCATACATGAGCATCATCTTGAACAATAGTTGCTGCTTTAGGCCGTGTCATTAACATAGGTGGTGTTGTCGTTATTGATGATGGTGGTACTCGTGACATCGTTATATCATCTGTTGCTAATAATATTTGATTGCCTGTTGTAGATTCTTGAGCTGGTTGAGCAAAATTTTGTTTTGATGAAAATGAAGGTAATTTATCTTTAACAACAAATAAAACGAAATAAAATTACACAAAAAAAAAAACAAAAACTATTTATTTATTTTTTTACTTCGTGATGTTAATGGTTTTGTAGTTGGTAAAAAACTACTTCGAAATTTTGATATTATAGTAGGATTTGATTGACGTTGTTGTTCATTTCCTGTTGTATTTGGTGATATTTGAATTTCATCAAGAACTTCAGCAAATTGAGCCATTGATGGATCAATACGCTAGAAAGAAACATAATTTAATTCATTTTATATACATATATATATTAAACTTACAGCTGAAGGTGGCAATAATGATTTCGAATTTGTTGTTTGTTGACTAATTAAATTTCCATATTGTTGTGAATTATTTTCTTCTATTGAACAGATCTTTGGTGGTATCATACTAATAAAAGATAAAAATTTATTTTTTGTTTCGAAGAAAAAAATTTTGTTTTTTGTTTTTTTTTATTTTACTGATAGAAAGCAGTTGATAGAAAATTTTGTAATGAAATCCAAAAAAGATCATTCCATTGTTTTGAAAAATATAATTGAAATGTCGGATTTTCTTCTGGATTTTTTATAAATGGTAATGCAAACCAATCTTTAGTCCATTCATTTGATTGTTGAAAAGTTTTAGCTAAACGATCAAAAAATTCATGAATTTTATCCATTTTTGATGATTGAATTGCATGAATTAAATAACAACGATATAAATTTGTACGAATTTTTGTTAAAACATTTGTTTGTTGTTGTGAACGTATTATTAATGTTGATAAAAGACGTTGTTCAATTTGTGTCCAATAATCAATTAAATTATTTATATCAAATTGATTAATATAAAATGTTAATTGTTCAGTTATACGATCAGCACGAAATTGTCCAATTGGAATTTTAATTATTTCATTATCAAATGTTTTTAAAGTATTTGTTAAACCTCGATAATTAAGATAATCACGTATAAGATCATCAACAAATGAAAATGTACTAGTCATTTTGAAAACTAATGATTAAATGAATGATTAGATATATCTATGTTTACTTTCCATCAATTGTTTATTCGTTTTTTGATTGGTTAACTATTTTAGTTTATTTATTTGTTTATGTATATTCCTATATGAGTGAACATTTTTTTTTTTGTAGAATATTTGATAATAGTTAGTTGTATTTTTTATTTCAATGGGTTTTTTTATTGATAGGAAGTGAATTTCTTCTGTCAGAAATTATATCCATCAATTTCTTTTTTTTGTAACACACTGTTTAGATATAGAACGTATAATCAGTCCATATGGTGTTCTTTGTATAGAATAGTATTTCACCGATAGGAAAATATTCCATTGAGAAGATTCTTTTCTACGTCGATAAAGAGTACATTTCTCTAGTTCGAACGATATCAAACATTGATCTGAGATCAATTTGGAAACCTATCGAGTTTTTCTTATCAATGAAGAAGTCTTAACTTTCTTTAAAAAGCAATAATTCCTATTCCAAACTTTTTTTTATTACTTGATGAGATAACACTTATGAAAATCTTTGGTTTGTTGATGGGTACTGCAGGAAAAAAAAAAGAAGATTTTTCAAGAGTAAAGGATATTTTTATTTGAGACAGATGTTCGTATATCAATTTTTATATTTTTGTCTTTTTCCATAAAATAATTTTTCTTTGTAATTTTCTTCTAAATAAATTAACGACGTCGTTCATAAATTCGACATTGCGTTTGAATACAAGTATCTCTACCATTATCAAAAAGATCTCTTTTTTTTCTTCTTTGTTGACGAGTTTCCATACATTGTTTAATACATCCGTTAATATATTTAATTTTTTCTTCAGTTGAATAACTAGTTTCATGCACAGTTAAATGTATTGTTTCTGGTGAAAGTATTGTATCAGATTGAATAATTTTACCATTATTTAACGATGGTAAATTAAATCCAATATTTTCTGATAAAATTGAAGAAATCATAAAAATAATAACGAGAAGATAATAATATTTAACGACCATCTTGTCTCGGATATTTCGAAGAAATAAAATTCACCCGATCTTTGTTTTTTTGGTTTATTGTTCTTTAAAAAAAAAAAGCATCTGCTCGATTTTCTCATAAGATGTTTGATTCTTTTTTTTTGTTTAGATGACATCCAATGATGAATTAACAATAGCAGAATTATTTGATTTTGCTTTTGATCTTCAACAAAAACTTGAAACAAATAAAATCGAACAAAAACTTGAAACATTTAATCTTGCAATAAATCGTTTAAAATTAGCTGAAGAAAAACTTGATGAATTACATTTATTTTCTGATAATGAAGAAATAAATGAAGTATCAACAAATGAATTACGGTAATAAAATTGAAATAAATAAAACTTCGACAAAAAAAAAGAATTTTTATTCATTTTTGTTTTTGATTTTATTATTAAATAGATATTTTATTCTTTATGCTTTAATTGGTTGGCTTTATGAATATCGTTCATCAAATCGTGAACAACGTTTAGATGATATTCATTTAGCAATATCATATTTTATTAAATATTTACAATTATGTAAAAATTATGGACTTGTTCAAAATATTCCAAAAGAACAAGATGATGATAATGAAAAATTTCGTTTACATGTTTCTGAAGATCGTCAAATAAAAATTCAAAAGTAAAAAAAAAGAAATTTTACGACAAAAAAATATAATCGAATAGTTTTATATTTTAGATTGAAAGAAAAAAAATTACTTGAACAATCTGTTGCGAAATTACGTGAAATAATGCATGATATTAATCGTGTTGATGATGAAATTAAACGACAATTATATATTGAACAAATAAAATGGTGGATTAAACAAACTGAAGAAGATATTATTGAATTGAAAGGTTTTGTTTTAAAAAAACAATAATAGTTCTAAGATTTAAATTCTAAATTGGATTGATTTAGATGAAATTAAATTAATTCAATTTTCTAAAGATCCATTTCCACAAAATAATAATACAACAACAGCAACAGCAACGAATAAATTACCTATCGATGGACCATTTACATTAGTTACAACAAAAGATCGACTGTATAAAGAAGCAGTTGGAGGAGCTGGCTATCCTAGGTGAGATATGTCATTTGAATTAATATTTAAATGCAAAAACATGAGCTGATAGTTTTCTTCAGTTGGGGGTGAAAATTTTGGACTCAACGAGCTCTAAAGAATAGGACAGTAAAAAGTTCGCCCTGGTAGGACACATCTTGTAGAATACATTACGATCGTTTGATTCTATAAAAATTATTGACAATATCTTCATGTTCATAAACTTTATTATATATTTTCCAGTAAGAATGAAATGAACAATAAAAAAAAAGAGACTTCACATCCATAGGACGAATAAAATATTAATAAAACAAGTATCAAGATATAGGGCTAAAAATGTAATTAATATATAGAGATGAGGGCTTTTTATTGCTTTATCTTCAATTTCTCGTGTAAAAGAATTAATAATATGTTATCAATTAGACATAGGAATAAATGCGTTCTACATCGTTGGAATGAAATCTGCACTTCTAACTACTATTGATGGTAATAGCAAATCATGACGAGTTTCACTATTAGACTAGAACTCCATTGAATCATGATCAATTGAGTGACTTGAGTTTTTTGAGGGACTCAGACATATTACGTCCAATCAGAGTATAACTGCTCATTCGATCAAACTACGAATAAGAGTTTTAATCATGTAGTTTCAGTATTCATGGATGTAAAATTCATCGAATATTGAAATTAGATAAAGAAAAATAATAATTACTCTTGAGAGTATAGGATTGCAATCCTACTATTACAAAGACTAAGATCAAACATATTTCTCGGCAACATAATTAATTCAATATGATAACGACTTCAAATAATAATAATATAACCGAAAAAGTTTGGATACTCTTCAGTAGTTCACATAATGCCGCGTCTATTCATGTATATTTGTTTTCTAAAAAGAAATTAGTGGAGATTCTAACAACTAATATTTGCCAATGATAATAACAAAGAAGAAAATAAATATATATATATATTTTTTTCACTTATGATACGATCATTTTCATGAAAATTAACACAAATGCAAATAATAGTTTACTATTAATTTTTTTGTTAAATCTTAAGATTTAATCATGCTTAATGATACATGAATATTATTTATCCGTAAGATTCATTATTCATGGTGATTGTTTTTAGTACATTTGTTGATCTATTAATTTTCATTATACTCTATTTATGATTTTTCAAATCATATATTTAATCTATATGAATTCAATATGTTTATCTAAGAAAAATTACTTATCTTTAATGATTAATCTTTTATTTAATTTAGTTTACCAACGATGACTATACAAGAATTTTATGATGATCTTACTAAAAGACAATCTCAGCAACCAAGTACTATTATAATTATTTAAAATTTCTTTTCATTTTAATTTTTATATTTTATTATTTCAAGTTCCACCTCCAAAACCAGCTCGATTATCTGAAGAACATTTAGATGAAATTGATGATGAAACACATCGACAAAATGTTCGTCTAATGGATGAATATAAAGATGATAATCCACGTGGTAGTGGAAATCGTTATAATCGTAGTTAATCGATAGTTTATTATTATCAAAATTTTATGTTAATTTATTTTTCCAAACGAAAACATACAATGTTCTTTTTTTTTTTTTCTTTTTTCAGATAAAATATGACTACGACATTATCTAATGCTGGAGAACTTCGTGAACAAGGAAATCAAGCATTTAAACAAGGACATTTTCAAGAAGCAATTGATCGTTATACAGATGCAATAAATATTCTTCATGATCAACAATTAAATGAAACAATTAGAAATGATTTAACTAAATGTCATAGCAATCGTTCACAATGTTATATTAATTTAGGTCAATATGAAGATGCTGTTGAAGATGCAACAAGAGGTACAAAACGATTAATTCTGTTAAAAAAAAGAATTATATTTTTTGTTTTTTATCCAACAGGATCTAAAAGGAGTGTTAAAGCATAAGAATAGCGATTTGAGCTTCTTTTGAGATGTGACAAATATTCTTATACGATCACAGACGGTATAACTATAACATCTAGTGATAATAAAGTAGAGACAAAAAATTTATATACGGAGTATTTTTTTACTTTCTTTCTTAACGGTAACAGTTAGAAAAAAATCGATGAAAAATTTGTTTACTAAAATAAATTCCTCTCAGAAGAGTCACTTATTTAATTCTGGTTAATAGATTTGGATGAAAGATTTCTGAAAAACCAAGACTTCGCCCCCCGTCGTCGAGTTTTCTGGATTTTATTTAAAATGTTTCTGAACAAGAGAAGATATCGCTGAGCTCTTCACGGTCTATTTTCAAAGAATGCCAATCATTGTGCGATGAACCTAAAAGTCTTTTATGTTATTTGTATGAGAATTTATTGTGTTCTACTCTTTGGGACTTTTCGTTGAAGATAAGTCGTGACGAGCTCGATGAAATCTTATTCTCTATTAGCTAAATTTGTTTTCAAATTTTTTTTGAAAGAATTCAAAAAAGTCGGTTTTGGACACTTTGGTTATCCAGAAACCTTCTAGCCAAGCCTGTCATAGGATACTGGACAAATACCTCTACAAGTAGGAAATTGTTGTAGCTATTAGCGTCAAAGAAAAAAAATGCGAAAATAGTTCGTTTCTAAACTTTTAGCGTGCACCTAATAGAAACCATTTAGGAGGAATAAGTTAAAGAAATGTATTTTAATATAGATAAAATAAAACAGTTTCGCCTGTAATTAGCAATAACAATTGCATCATGTTTCATATTTGAATTCTAGAGGAATTGTACTAACAGTTTCATTTTCTTATTTATTTTATAGCACTTGAGTATACACCTGCTGATCAAAAATCATTGTTTCGTCGAGCAAATGCTTTTGAACGTATGGGAAAATTAAATGAAGCTATATCCGATGCTCAACGATTAATGTCTGTTTCATCAAAAGGCGGATCTCCAGATGAACAAACATATAATCTTTTACGAAAATTACGTGAAAGTGCACAGAGCAAAGTAGTTTTTTAAGTTTTATATATTTTTTTTTTGTTTATTTATTGTATTTTTTAAAAAGATTTCACAACAAACACAATTAAATAATCAAATTCAACAAATGTTTGAAACTATTATTTCTAAATCAAATCAACAAGAAACTGTATGAATCAAATTTGGTTTGATGACGCACCAAAAAAGTTTTCTTTTTTTTTTTTTTGCTGGAAAATTAGATTTATTGTACTTTTTGCATGTATTGCATGAGTTTTCCTTTGTTCATCATTTTTATGCATGGATTATTTCCATTAATAGGTAATATGCATATTGAAGATATTTATTCTTGAATATTCAATTAAATTTTTATGTTTTATTTTAGGCAATAAATAATCTTGTTGTTGTATCACGTGATACTCCTGGTGCCGAAGCAATTCTTAATTATGATATTGATCTAAAACATATGAAAGAGTTTATTCAACGAGATGATCGAACTTCTGTTCTTGGTACATTGAGAATATTGGCTGCAATTGTTAAAAATTCATATAGACGAGTAAAATTTTTAAAACTTTCTTCTATTTTTTTTTTGACTTGAATGTCTGAAGTTCATTTAAAATGATCATTTTTCTACTGACCAAACTGTTATCCATTGTTAGAAGTAGATTTCAATAATACGAAACATATAATCTATTCTAAAGTGGAAAATATGACAATATAAAAAAGATTTTAAATGTAGCATTGATTTTTTTTTTTTTGAAATTTCTTTAATTTTCTGTTGTTGCTGTGGAATGTATGCTTAAGCTATTGAGGATGAACAACTCGTATTATGAAGTACCAATTATAAATTTATATATTCAAAATGAGATCCTTCTGAATATTATCTTTATCTTTTTTCAAATTATTTGAAAATTACAGTTAATATTCATAAAATCTTAAGCTTCAGATTTTTCTGCAGAAAAAATCGAAAAACAAACAAAACAGAATTTTATTATGAATAATTAAACTATTATGATAATAAATCATGATTTATTTATTTTTTTTTGTTGTCCTAGGCTGAAACAGTTTATAATAAACTTGGTTTGAAACCAATTGCTCGTTGTTTTGCAATGAATGATGCAGAAATACCAACAAATGCATCTATATTAATTAGTAATATGATTATGTCAATATGTGATTTTGAAAATCGACGAAAAGTTCGTAAACCTGTTAATGTTTCATACAATTTTGGTATTGATTTATTAATTAAAGAAGAAAAAAAATGAATTTATACAAAAATATTTTTGCTTTTAAAAATTTAGATCCATATGTTACTGAATTTATTAATGAAACATTTCGTATGTTACTTGATTTAATTGATGATAAAACATGTTCAGGTATTGGACGTGATTGTTGTCTTGATCTTATTGTTAAATATGTTGATAAGGCAAGTGGTTGTGATTGGACAAGCAAATTTATTCTATCAGGTTATTATTAAATTAAAATTTATTTTATTTTATTTTATTGTTTTGGTCAATTAGGTGTACCCAAAGTATTACGAGTAGCATCAACAGTACCAAATTTACCTGATACTGAAAAAAAACAATATCCACTAACAGAACAAACTAAAATGCATATATCATGTGTTTTAAGTACTGTTTATCATGATTTATGTTCGGATAGAGAACGTGAAAATTTCAATAATGAATGTATGGAATTTATCAAGTAAGTTTATTTTAATGTTTGTCTTATTATTCTAAATAATAGCAGATAAAGACTATTTAAATGATCTCAAAATGAAGTTTTCAGTTTTAAAACAATGTCTTGTTCGGATACATACTTCTTAGGATTGTTGTATCTTGAACAAACATTTGCTTGCTAAATCAACTTAAAAGCAAGTATCTGAACACACCGTATAAATTCTTGTTAGCAACTAAATTGATCTCATGAGTAAAAAAGCAAATGTCATTTTGAACTAATCAGAAAAGTTTTTCAATTGTTATATCGTATTTGAGTCGAGACTATGTACATAATGAAAAAGCAAATAAGCTATGAATAGTCTGAAAAAAGTTCGTGCCCTTAACTTATTGCTGTGGTAAAAGAAAGTTTGTACGGAGATAAGCCTTAATGAAGAGAGCTGATTGTAAATATTTCAAATCTTGTCACTGTTTCTATTCTAACGAGGGAGCATTCTCAACTGTCACATCGCTTTTAAGCTGAACGTATGCGCATTATGTAGACCCTCACGATCTATGAATCCTCTGAAAAAAGTTCGTGCTGCTAGCTTATTGTTGCCGAGATACAGCATTTTTACTGTATGCTTAAGAAAAAAAAGCCGTGGTCCCCCTCAGGAACATCGGAAAACTGAATTTCGAATTTCGTCTTGAAACTTTGCGTAGATATAGGTCTCAACGAGAATACTTTATTGTGAAAGTTTCAGCTCTTTTCGCTGTTCCTGTCCTAAGATATAGCTATCATAAAATTGTTCATATACACCAGCAGATCCGATGTTCTTATCTCAGACTAGGAGCAACCAAAAAATCTGAAACCTTCATAATAAACTATTCTCATTGAAGCCTGTCTACATGCAAAGTTTCAGGTGGAAACTCAAAAGTCACTTTTCCTGATGTTCCTGAGGGGGCCACGGCTTTTTCCTTAAACATACAGTAAAAATGCTGTATCTCAGCAGTAAGAAGCTAGCAGCACGAACTTTTTTCAGGACATTCATAGGTCAATAGGGCCTACATAATGTCCATACGCTCGACTCAAAAGCGATGTGACAGTTGGGAATGTTCCCTCATAAGATATATCTATAATAATAGCATATCTGTTACATTGCTCATATAAATCGACAGATTTGATGAGTACTGTAAAAAGCATTTATAATACTCTGATAACAACTGTTAAATTTTAAGAAATGATCAATATGACTTTTTGTATGATAATATCTCTGTATGAAGTGATGCAGTATATATGAGAATTTCATGATTCTGAATATTTCTAATTTTAATAGAATAAGCAAATAGGAATCCATTGTTAATTACATCTGAATACAAAATAATAATTTTAAACTCTTCTACACAATAAAACCATTCATTATTGTTTTTTTTTTTTTTTATTTTGAAATGATATTTTGTTTTAGAGCGTTACGTGAAAGAGATGATGTTCAATCACGCATCCGAACAATAGCTGCTTTGTCTGTTTTACTACAAGGCCCTTTTGATACCGGAAATGCTATCTTAGGTAGTCAAAATTTAGTAGACCTTATGATACAAATGGCTGGTTCAGGTGATCCTTTACAAGAAGTAATATTTAATATCGATTGATATTAATTATTTAATTTATTTCTTATTTCTTATTTTGTTTTTAGCTTATTGCAGTTGAAGCTATTGTTTTATCAGCTTCAAAAAAAGATAAAGCTGCTGGTATTTTATCATTAGGTTCAGAAGTTCTCAAAGATCTTTATCAATCAGCTAATGAACAAATAAAAGTTATTGCACTTGTGGTATGAATATATTTTATATTAGAATTTTATTCAAAGAATAATGGTTTTGTTTTTCTTTCTTAGGGTTTATCTAAAATTGCATCAAGTAAAGGTACAGATTCAAGTGCAAATCTTGTTACTGAAGGTTCATGTCAAACACTTGCTCGAGCATGTTCCAAGTAAATTGAAATTAACATAAAAATACTTTTGTTTTTTGAAATAAAAAATTTTTAATATTTCAAAGGTTTTTAACTACAAGTGGAAAGTTCGAAATTCGTCGTTGGGCAGCTGATGGTCTTGCTTATTTAACTTTAGATGCTGATGTTAAAGAAGAATTTGTTGATAATCTTCCAGCATTAAAATCACTTTTTAATTTATGTCAATGTGATGATGCACATGTTCTATATTCAATAACAACAATATTTGTTAATTTAACAAATACATATGATACACGAAAACCAGAAAAAGAAATGACTGAATTAGCTACCTATGCTAAACAGCATGTACCTGAAGAAAATCCTAAAGTAAAACCAAAAAAAAAATAAAATAAAGATAAAACAAAACTATAATTTATTCAAAATTTTTTTTTTTGAAAAGGATGCTAATGAATTTGTTGAAGAACGTCGTCGAAAATTAGTTGAAGCTGGAATAATACCTGTTTTAGTACAATTATGTAAACATAAAAGTAGTAATTGTCGAGAACAAGTAGCACGGTTAGAATAAATAAATCTTTTGTTCTTGTACATCATAAAAAAATTTGTGTTTTTTTTTTTATTTTATTTTTAAGAGTTTTTCTTGGTCTTTGTGAAAATGAAAAATATCGAGGACCTATTGTTGCTGCTGGCGGAGGAAAAGTATGTATGAAAAATTTCTCTATGGATTAAGAATAATAATTGATATTATTTTTAAGTCTTTACTTCCACTTGCCTTGGATGGTACACCTGTTGGCAAAACTAAAGCAGCTCAAGCATTATCTAAAATAGCGATTACAACTAATCCAGAAAATGCTTTTCCTGGTCAACGTGTATGTTAATACTATTGTACTTTCAAAACAAAATTTCTTTTTTTGTAGAATTCACATTTTGTTTTTCGAAGAGTAATATAATGAGTGAAATTTTTTAATTGAGAATGCAAAAAGTTCTACTACATGTAAGCAGTAATCAGAGGTCGATAGAGCTTGATGTAAAAGACTTATAATGAAACATTAGTTTTTTTCCTAGAATTCATAAAAAATTTTTTGACAGTTTTCCACTATTTAAATACGTTAGCCTCCATTTATGAAGAAATCCAGACTCTGATGTCTGTAGACATAATGAGTATGTACAAAAGGTTTGTTTGCCAATTAGAATAATATTAGACGGATCGTTTCTTTGGTAATAGATTGTCCTCGGAAAAGAACTGTTGTCTTTGAGAGATTTTTCACTGAACATTTTTCTTATTATTATAATGAGATTAAAGAATACATGTGAGTTCCACATATGGGCTGCGCTAACAAGTTTTTTCTTTATTTTTTTTTAAGATGCTTGAACTTGTTCGCCCAGTTCTTCAACTTCTTAAAGTCGAAAATACAGCATTAGAAAATTTCGAAGCATTAATGGCTTTAACTAATTTAGCTGGTGCTGGTGAAAGTGTTCGAAAACGTATTTTAAAAGAAGGTGGATTTTCAAATATTGAACATTATATGTATGAAGAACATATAATGCTTCGACGTGCAGCTACAGAATGTATGTGTAATTTAGTTGTACAAGAAGAAGTAAGAAAAAATGCGTCGAATTTTCGTTTTTTTTTTGTTTAATCATTAAATGATTGCTATAATTTAGGTTGTTAAATATTTTACTAAAGAAAATGATCGAATTAAATTATTAGTTTTATTATGTGGTGAAGAAGATGATTTATTAATCAAAGCAGCTTTAGGAACATTAGCAGTTTTATCATCATTACAAATTGATCTTGAAGATTATAAAGATGTTGATTTACAAGATGAGGATCGTAAAAAATTAAATGAATATATTAAAGACAATCAAATTATATGTGAAAAAATACTTAGTGTAAGCTTGATTTGTTTTTTTTGTTTTTATGAAGAAAAAAAGTAAATCAATTTAATTCAATTTATTGTTATTTTATTTAGGTTAAATCATTTGCGGAAATTTTCAAACCATTGTGTGCTTCAGAGAATGCTGATTTACAATTTCGAGCTCTTTATATTATACGTAATATAATTAAAACAAATAAAGATATTGCAATACGTATTGTTGAAACGGATCTAATGGATGTTTTATTTGCTATTAAAGAAACGAAAGATGATCGATTAATAAATGAAAAAGTAATAGACAAAAATAAACTTTTTTTTTGTTTTTATTACATATTATAATTTTCAATCTTTCGTTTTTTTTTTCCTCAGAATCGAAAAGTGGTTTCGGATATAATTCAACAGTGTTTAGATTATGGACTTATTCAACCAAACAGAGATCATACAATTGCTGAAGAAGATGAAGATGCTGCTTCTGAATAAAATACTATTGTTATTGTTTTTGCTGTGTTTGTTTGTGGTGTTTTTATCCTTTTGTTTTATTCTGTGTTAAAATACATCTTTTAATAATGAATAAAACAGTTGCTGTGAAGATTTTTGTTTTCTAGAATCGAGAAATAAAAAGAAAAAAAAAGAAATGGCTTATCCTCATGCAAAAAATGAACCAATGGAAACATCAACATCGTCTGAAACATCTGATTTCGATCCTGTTAATTTAGAATCTTCTATAATTCAATTATGTTTACAATTTCCAAATGGTGTTAGTGATAAAATTCTTGAAAATTCATTTCGTAGTGTTAGTATGCAACAACGTGTTAGTGCATTGAATCGTTTATTGTCATTAAATAAAATTGATTTATTGAAATCATCAACGGAACCAGGAACATTTCTTTATCGTATACGTGATACAACAAATGCATTAGGCTCATCAATAACAGTTACTGGTGGTGGAACAACTGATCAAATGGAACGAGTTGTTTATCAACTTGTTAAAGAAAGTGGAAATTTAGGTATATGGATGCGTGATATACGTACAAAAACAAAGCTATCACAGATAATACTTAATAAAACTCTTAAATCATTAGAAAGTAAAAAATTAATTAAAGCTGTTAAATCCGTCCATGCAAGTAAGAAAAAAGTAAGAATGAAAATGGTTTTTTTTTGTCATGAGAAAAAATTGATAATTTTCTTGTTTTTTTTTTCTAAGGTATATATGCTTTATGAAATGAACCCTGATCCATCTATTACTGGTGGTACATGGTATTCTGATCATGAATTTGAAGCTGAATTTGTTCGTGTATTAAATGAACAATGTGCTCGATTATTAGATGAAAGATTAGATGAATCAATAAGAAAATTTCCACATGATCCATTTTTACGACGAACTAGTTCGTTGATGTCAAGTGTTGAACTTGTTACACTTATTAATGAAATGGGTATTGCTACTGTATCATTAACTGTACAAGATATTGAATCAATATTATATACACTTATTTGTGATGGAAAAATTGAAAAAACAACAGTAGCTTCAACAGCAAATAATGAAAATGGAAATCGACAAAATTTATATAGATCTGTAAAACCAATGCTTGATTCATCACCTGTTGTAAGAAATCCATGTGGAATTTGTCCCGTTTTTAAAGACTGTCATGATGATGGTTTGATTACACCTGAAACATGTATTTATTTAAATAAATGGTTAGATTTTTGATAAACTATCATATTGAAAACCTTCAATATCATGATTCGACCACAATTATTCTAGAAATCATTTGAAAAATGATAATAATAAATTGATAAAATTCTTTCAACTAGTTCTTTATTGATTAGTTTCTTTCTTACACTAAACAAAATATGATGGTAACTATAATCGATGAGACTTGAACCAGGTTTATTGTCATCAAAAAAAAAGTTGTAACAATTAATATAAAAGACTAGAAGAATATCGAATTTTTGTCTATGAATTAAATGTAATAGCTGCAAACATTAGTATTCAATTTATATGTTTAAATGAAATTCAAAGATGACAACTACTCAACTGTTTTTTTTTTCTTAAGTCGAAAATATATATTCCATGTAGACTCTAATTACCTATGAATACTTTAAAAGAAATTCGAGCTCTTACCTTATTACTGCGAAGATACTTTATTTTTGACAATATATTTTAAGTCTATACTATGGTGATTATTTGAATAATGAAGAGAAGCACTACAATATCTGCACACCAGATTGCAACGACGAGTTTTAGTCGTTCTATTTATGGTTCGCTTCAAAGCGTATTATTGAAATTGACATTTTATGTGCTCGTATCTGCATTGTCTCGATGCGATGAAACTTTGATATTCAGAATTTTACTCATGTTAGGATCGTTCGAAATGAATAATGCATAAGGTTCGTTTATAGTTAGTAAACGTGAAAACTCGTGAATGATACGGTAGTAAACTATGTATATATACATAGCGTTTGATTAGATGCAGAAATACAGTCGATACTTTAAAAATAGCTTAAACAGTCAGTATATAATTCGTTGACCGTGCATGATAACTATTCAAATCAATCTTTAAAGTACTTGAAAATGAATTTACATAATTATGTGCATCCAATCAACTTTAGTAACAAGGTACCGTTTGGTATCGTAGCAAATTATTTACAATCGCTTCGGTATAAGAGATTAACGGAGGAGTACGTGACATTGTTCATGTCTCGTTTCATTTTTCCGACGAACTATGTAGAAACTAATTGGAATCTTTCATTTTTTTTTGTAACACTCCCTAAAGATTGAAATGACATAACATGCGCACTGGAAAGTTCCGACAGATATTCACATAGGCATGAGCAGTCATGCAGGACTGCCGCATCCGTCCAGGTTATACAGGGTATCCAAAAAGGCTTTTCCCAAAAGTTTTTTTGTATTATCTTTACTATTTGATTTAACTTCATCAACAAATTTTTTTAAATCATAGGTAAATATACCAAGTTTTTATTTATACAAACAAAGTTGAATACTACTAGAGCCCTGCGGTTCCAAAAAAATGGAACCGAAATTTTTCTTGAGGGTGAAAGTTTCAAGATGTGTAGATGTTGCAAGATGCACATTGTATCAGCACCTTTCTTCATTTATCCATGAAAAGTTTTCGTAGTAATCCTGGTTTTCAAGAAAAAACTCTTAAGTCAGTTAAAGCGGAAATTATTAAACGGCAACCAACAATACTATCCACTACATGTACAACTACTACTCCACCACCTGTTCGTACAAATTCACTTGATCCTCAATCGACAACATCAAAAGGTCCTCTTGCATACTGTTTTGATATACCACAAAATTCCTTAACATTGTCAACAACACTGTATGAATCAGATGAATATATGCCATCAAATGTCCCATTCAGTGGACATGATGATGTTTAATTATTCCGCGACAACAGAATTTAAAATTACCGATCTTATTTTCTATAGCTCAAGATTTATATGCTGTACAAACATCGAACACCATTGTAGAAAGACTTATCTCGTCTGTAAAAAGCACAAGTATCGATATATGCATCGATCTTGGTGCAGAAAAAAAATACCCTATTGCTATTTTTTTCAGAAAAATTTAGCATCATTAAAATCATTTGATGAAAAAAATTGATGAAGTTGATACAATTGAAACGAAAAGAAAGATGGTTGAACAGTCATCTTCTACAATGTTCTGTCTAAACTAAATAACAATCTATTACTACAACAACAAAAAGACGTTTAGAATGAGTAACGAAGATGATATTGTTCTTTGTGATCCTGACCGTCGAGAGGATAAGGAAATGATGAAGTAGCTCTTTTTTGGAACTTTTAATATAAATATTTCATACGAACATATTGTATGTTAGTGTTTCAACTCATTCTTTGACTTTTTCTTTTACCTTTTGAAGCAGTTACTTATTTGATGAAGTAATAAACACGAAGAGTCCCGAAGATAAAATGTAGAAATTTCTAAAAAAAACTCAATTGCTCGGTATTTCGTATGCTACGGTAAAATCGTCGGTTGCTAGAAAAAAAATTTAGGAACCGAAAAAGGAACCGTTTTTTTTCGATTTTGCTAACCAAAGAATCGAACCGGAACCGACGGTTCCGGGTAATTTTAGGAACCACAGGGCTCTATTATTGATTATCAAGGGACAAATATCATATCTAATCGATTTATAAGTTAATTTTGTGCTGTAAAAAATTCGAATTTAACAGCGGCAATCAAAATTATGCTATTATTTTAATCTTCACATTTGGCGTAACAAAAACAAAAAACTGTAGTCTTTATTTAAATAAGTCAGAAATTTTTTTCACTGTTTCAATTGCTGCTTCAATACATGCTTCAAATGCCGATTCAGCTGCAAAGCTATCACCAGCAAGTACTAACAAAGGATGTTCATGGAGTAGGACACAACCTGGTTTATCTGGATACGATTGAATAACCTAAACCCCAAAAAAGAATTACAATTAATACTTTATGTAATAATCAGCTTTCCTAAATTTACTTGTGAATATTTCCATTTATGATATTTTACATTACTAATATTACGTGGAAGTTGAGGTAAAAATTGAAAGATGTTTTCTTTAATTTGTTCTCCAATTATTATTTTATCTGCTTCAACATATTTTGCACCGAAATCAACATTGGTATGAGCAATGAAAGAAAAAGGTGGTTCGTCTAAAATTAAATTAATTTATATATTTTATCAATGGAAACAACTTAAAACAATGATAAATCAAATAACTAACTTTTATTTCGTTTTGCATTATCTATTGCAAGATAACGAAGACAATCATTTTCATTTTTATCTACATAATAGATATGCCATGGAATATTGAGATTTGTTATTGAAGGTGAATAAAAAAGACCAACAGAAAAACGACTAGAAAATTTAACTTGACCAAGTTTATCTTTGATTTCTTTGTTATCCTCTTTGAAAAGAAAAATAAAGGAATAAAACAAAAAAAGTAAATTTTTTAGCATCGTAAAACAAATTTTTATATGTTATGTGTATGTTAAGCTATTCTAAATATCATGAAGAAAATCAGCACTAGAAACATTCGCTCAAAGGACGTATCAATAAACGAACAACTCATTCAGAAAAATAATCCTTGTCAGTAATCAAAGTCAAATGAAATGTATGTATGTCCTGTTTTGCTTGGAATCGTCTATATATATATACATACCTATTAATTTGGTAATAGTACCTTTGAATTGAGTAAGTACTTGTGGCACTGGAACAGTAACAATAACAGCTTCACCTTCATCTAATTTTTCATCATTAGTTGATATTTCAAATTTATTATTTGTCGAATTAAGATCAATTTTTGTTATATGTTTTGAAACATTCATTTCAACAACTAAAATTTTAAGTTAATATTCATTTCGATTTATTGTATAATTAACCTGCTTGTTCAAAAAAATATCGCACAACAGATGCTATTCCACGTGGTGCGACATAATCAATTTTATCTGGCTT